CTGTCTCCTTTTGTATTTATATATTGACTTGTCTTTTGCCTTTTGAGACAGTTTTGTTTATGTGATCGACTTTTGGAACTTGTACTCATTTTGTTAGTAGCTCTGTACTTGCGACTTCCAGGTTCTGGGAGGGATCTTTTATTTGTATATAGTTTTGGCTTGCTTCCGCCCTTCCATTTGTGATTCCTGTTGTTATTATTATTGTGTTGTTGAGTTTAGTTTTCTACCCTCAATCCCATTACTAGATGTTCCGGGATACGGGTTGGCTTGCCTACTGGTGGGTTATAGTAGGTGCCATCATGACTCGAGGAATCGGGTCGTGACAAGTTGGTATCAGAGCCCCAGGTTCACCGGTCTCACTTGTACAGAGCTAACGTCTAGTAGAGTCCTAAGAATTGGTGCGGAGACGTCTGTGACTTATCTTTGAGAGGCTACAGAATGTCTTTAGGAAGATTCCTTATTTTGTATCCATTTCGTGCATCGTATGTCTAAATTGGTTTCATGGAATCTCATTTGTTTCACTCTTTCATAGGATGGCTCGCACGCGTGTCGAACCGGTTGGGAGTAATGCACCCGGGTCCGCGAATAGAGCTCCTGCTAGGGGTAGAGGCCGACTTAGAGTTCGAGGCAGAGCTCCAACATCATCCCGAGATAGAGAGAGGACTTCAGAGCCGAAGATGGAGCCTCTGGTAGATCATGTTCCTCCTCAGCCGGTGGGACCGGGACCAGCCCAGCCACCACCCGCACCAGCCGCCGCTATTGACCTACATGCGATGCTCACCAAGATTTTAGCAACCATAGGGGGTATACAACATTAGGCTCCAGCCCTACCTCCAGTTCCGGCACCGCAGTGTCAGCGTTCCCCAGCGACTCCAGAGGTTCAGCAGCCACCGGCACCAGCCGGATGTTTTAGATGGGGTCATGCCACTACGAGAGAAGAATATGCTCGGGGTGTTTTATGAGATTGTTACCGTCGAGGTTTTCTAGGGCTGTTGGAGAGGATTCCCATAAGTTCCTTACTACTTGCCGAGAGCGGCTAGATACTTTGGGTCTGGTAGAGGCGATACGGGCCGACTTCACCGCTTATTAGCTAGATAGGCCTGCCGACAGTGGAGGCGTTCTTACTTGGAGACCAGGCTAGTTGGGTCCCACCGGTATCTTGGGTAGATTTCTTTGAGGCATTCTTGGCTCGGTTTATCCTGCGAAGCGTTAGAGATCGGCTTCGTGATGAGTTTTTGAGGTTGGAGCAGGGCTCCATGACTGTGTCTAAGTATTAGTCCAGATTCCATGAGGTCTCCAGTCATGCTACTATGATTTTACCGGCGGAGGAGGAGAGGGTTCGATGTTTTGTTAGAGGATTGAGGTTGCAGCTGTGCATGGAGACTCAGTCCATGGTTTTAGCGGACCGTTCCTTTCTCGATGTTATGGACCACGCTCGCACACTTGAGCAGCTCCATCGCGAGGCCCAAGGAGGCAGCGACAAGAAGGCCAGACAGGATGATAGTCACAGTGGGCCCCGTTTCAGGCCTACAGACTCACATGACAGGCCCCACCAGAGGTTCCAGCAGGGTTAGTCCAGTCACCCGTTCCAGACATCGCTTTATTCTTTAGAGGGTAACCAACACCGTCAGGGTGGCTCTAGTGCCGGTCTGAGTCAGGGCTGAGGTGGTACTCAGTTGGGTTCTTCAGGCTGGGGTGGCTGGCCTCTAGTTGCGATCATACCACCACAGGGTTGTTATGACTACAGAGAGATCAATCATTGCTCCAGAGAGTGTCCTCTTTGTAGGTTAGCTACACCAACTCCACATCAAGCTAGACCCGCAGCACCTCCAGCTAGAGGAATCAGGATCAGGACCTCCGGGGTGATCATCAGGGTTTACGGGGAGGTCCTCGAGGAGGCAGGACAGGTGGCAGAGTTTATGCACGGGGTAGAGTCACCTAGGGTCACTTTTATGTAGCTCCAGCTAGAGTAGAGGCCGAAGCTTCAGACGATGTGATTACAAGTACGATACTTTTATGTAATCAGCCCGCCTTAACTTTATTTGATCCAGGCTCCACTTATTATTATGTGTCTGTTTATTGCGCTCCTTGATTGAGTATGAGCCCTGAGCCCTTAGTAGTGTCGTTACGTGTTTCGACCCCGGTAGGTGATTCTTTAGTAGTGGATTAGATCTTTAGATCTTGTTTGGTGACTATTCAGGGGCGAGATACTCGGGCTAATCTTATTTTACTTGATATGTTGGATTTCGACATGATTCTGGGCATGGACTGGTTATCCCCTCACCGAGCGGTTTTGGTTTGCTATGCCAAGACCATTACCTTAGCCATGCTTGGTATTCCATCGGTTGTGTGGCAGGGCTCTTGTAGTCGCACACCGGTTGGGGTGATTTCTTTATTTAGGCTCGGAGGTTAGTGGCTAGCGGATGTTTGGCTTACTTGGCTTATGTTAGAGATGTTAGTAGGGAGGGCCCTACGGTTGATTCAGTGCCTGTAGTCTGAGAGTTTGCTAATGTGTTTCCTGCCGCCTACCCCCACATCGTGATATTGATTTCGCCATTGACTTAGAGCCAGTTACTCCTCTTATTTCTATCTCATCGTACCATATGACCCTCGCAGAGCTGAAGGAGCTTAGTGTTCAGCTTCAAGATATCTTGGGCAAGGGATTCATTCGGCCTAGTGTATCGCCTTGGGGTGCCCCAATCCTGTTTGTGAAGAACAAGAATGGTACTATGCAGATGTATATTAATTACATGCAGCTGAACAAGGTGACGGTGAAGAACTGTTACCCCATGCCTTGTATTGATGACCTATTTGACCAGCTTCACGGTGCCGAGGTTTTTTCTAAGATCGTTCTGAGATCCGGTTACCACCAGTTGAGGATTAGGGCAGCAGACATCCCTAAGACCGCATTTAGGACTCGTTACGGCCAATATGAGTTCCTAGTGATGTCTTTTGGGTTGACTAATGCCCCTGCTGTCTTCATGGACTTGATGACTTGTGTATTTAGGTCGTACCTTAACTCTTTTGTTATAGCTTTATCGACGATATTGGTATACTCGTGGAGCCGGAGTGAGCATGAGCACCATTTGAGGATAGTTCTCCAGACTTTGAGAGATCATCGACTTTATGCCAAGATTTCAAAGTGCAAGTTTTGGCTTGAGTCTGTAGCATTCTTAAGGCACGTGGTCTCCAAGGATGGCATTATGGCGGATCCAGTGAAGATTGAGGCTATCCGTGACTGGCCAGGCCCACCTCTGTGACTAATATTCGTTGTTTCGTTGAATTGGCAGGGTACTACAGGCGTTTTGTTGAGGGATTTTCTACTATAGCGGCACCTTTGACTCAGTTGACTCGCCAGGATATTCCCTTTGAGTGGTAGGAGGAGTGTGAGAGGAGCTTTCTGAGGCTCAAGGAATTGCTTACCACCGCTATTATATTGACTCTTCCAGTTGAGGCGCGAGGCATTCACGGTTTATTGTGATGTATCCGGCGTCGGTTCGGGTTGTGTTTGATGCAGCAGGGCCGGGTTATTGCTTATGCATCGAGACATCTTAAGTTTCATGAGTGCAACTACCCCACTCATGACTTAGAGTTGTCGGCGGTAGTTTTTGCGCTTAAGATTTGGAGGCACTACCTATATGGAGTGCGTTGTGAGATCTACACTTACCATCGGAGCCTTCAATACAGTATTAGCCAGAGGGATCTTAATTCGAGGCAACATTGTTGGATTGAGCTCCTGAAGGACTATGATCTCTCTATTCTCTACCACCTGGGCAAGGCGAATGTAGTAGCGGACGCCTTGAGCCGGAAGGCAGTTAGTATGGGTAGTCTAGCCTTTATTTCTGTTTCAGAGTGGCCTTTGGCTTTGGACATCCAGTCCTTAGCCAACCAGATGATCCGACTTGATCTTTCAGATGGGTGTTAGCTCATGTGGGGGTTCAGTCATCTTTGTTAGATCAGATCTGTGGCTGACAGTTCGAGGATGAGTCTTTGGTGTCACTCAGAGATAGAGTATAGGCAGGCGATGCTGGGCTGACTACTTTAGATTCATATGGGGTGTTGAGGTTTGCTGGCCGATTGTGTGTTCCAAGAGTTGGGGGTTTGATTCAGTTGATCCTTAGCAAGGCCCATGATTCCATATATTCCATCCATCTGGGCACCGCTAAGATGTATCGTGACTTGAGGCAACATTACTGGTGGAGCGGTATGAGGAGAGATATCTCAAACTATGTGTCATGTTGCTTGTGTTGCCAGCAGGTGATGGCCGAGCATTTGAGGCCTGGTGGTGAGTTTCAGAAATTACCCATTCCGGAGTGGAAGTGGGAGCGTATCACCATAGACTTCGTTGTGGGTTTGCCTAGGACTTCCAGGGGTGTTGACAACATTTGGGTCATCGTGGATCGATTAACCAAGTCAGCACACTTCCTCCCCATTCATACTTCCTTTAGTGTTGAGAGATTGGCTCGTATCTACATTCGGGAGGTGGTTAGTCTTCATGGTGTGCCTGTTTTCATCATTTCAGACCGAGGTTCCCAGTTTAATTCCAGCTTTTGAAGGGTCTTTCAAGAGGAGTTGGGCACCCGTGTCGACCTTAGCACAACATTTCATCCGCAGACTAATGGCCAGTCTGAGTACACTATTCAGGTCCTTGAGGATATGTTGTGGGCCTGCGTCATGGACTTTGGAGGTTAGTGGGACTAGTGTTTTCCTTTGGCGGATTTTGCGTACAACAACAACTACCACTCTAGTATTCAGATGGACCCGTTCGAGGACTTATATGGTAGGCGTTGTCGCTCTCTGGTTGGTTGGTTTGAGTCTATGGAGCCTAGGCCACGCGACACAGACTTGCTTCAGGAGGTCTTAGATCATGTGAGGGTGATTCAGGATAGGCTCAGGACAGCTCAGAGTAGACACTAGAGTTACGCAGATCATAGTCGTCGGCCGTTGAGATTGCCGTTGGTGATAGATTATTCCTTCGAGTATTGCCTATGAAGAGCGTGATGAGAATTGGGAGGCGGGGCAAGCTTAGCCCCAGATATATCGGGCTTTTTGAGATTTTAAGGGCAGTTGGTGAGGTTGCCTATGAGTTAGCTTTGCCTCCAGCATTCTTACCTATCCATCTGGTATTCAATGTTTTGATACTGCGTCGGTATGTTCCAGACGAGTCCCATGTGCTCCAGTATGATGCGGTTGAGTTAGATGATCATCTGACTTATATTGATGAGACAGTTTCCATCTTAAATAGAGTTGTGAGGCAGTTGCGATCCACAACCACACCTGTGGTTAAAGTCTGTTGGAGGCATCGTCCAGTCGAGGAGGCCACTTCAAAGACCGAATGTGTCATATTCTGGAAACTAGTAGACTAAACTAGAGCCTTACGTAAAGGTTAGAGTAGTAAATAACTGATTAACATTTCAAAGACACCTTATCCAGTTCTAAGTGTCAACGAACGTAAATCAATATAAACCCAACTAAATGAGTTGGGGTTGATCCCACAGAGAGTAGCTTTCTTTTGAATTCGAATATGAAATTATGACGGTGACCTTTGCAGCTGAACAAACAAAACTCTTAGGAATCTTTAAGTCAAACTCAAAGATGTCGTTACCAATCCAAACGAACAGTTGTCAAACTACCAAACCACTTCAACAATCAACAAGGAACAATAAAATAAAGAGATAACGCTTGGGGGATCGACTAACCAACTGCATAGTTCAATTCAATAGGTGTACATCATTACCAACAATGTTAATTCATCATGGGTAGAATGGACTATAGGTAAGGCACTTTTTTCTCGAACAATTACCTTATTTCCACTTAGTTCTCTCGAACCTCAGCACTATCCATAAGAAGACCAGGCCACATTCTCATCAAATCTACTCTTCCGAGCTAGATACAAATGTTGAATCTCAAGTTTCACTTTCTCAAGCTAAAATTGCCATGACTCACTAACTATGGATGCCAAATTACTACCTTAGCTCTATACTTCTCTCTCGAGCAAGCATAAAACTTTGAAGTGTATTAAACTAAACATGCAATATTGGAGTTAAACCACAGTAATAATTAAGACCCACTTCAAATTAACACCAAAATTCACTAATTAATAACACCCATTAAGTCAAACGCAACAATTGGTCACATTGTCAAACCCCCAAAGTTAGGGTTTTAGCCAATCATAGTAAAAAGATGAAATTCAATACCTTCCGCATTTTCCATAGCTGGGTAAATGAAATTTGAAAGTCAAAAGTGAATAATATCTTCTCTATTACAAAACTCAATTGAAAAACCTTGCTAAAATTACTTGAAATCAACAATAGATGTGTTTTTTGCTCTCTATATTTTGTTCCTCACAATTTCTGAATGTTTTCTCTCTCTTCCAAAAATCAATTTATACAAATATGAGGTGTGGCTCTTTGGGGCCAATTGGCGCAGAAAGTCGAGCTTCGTCGACCATTTAACGACTCACCGATCGTCCTTTCGTCTCGCCTTCTCTCTTCACACCTTCCTCGTCCAACCATTGTAATTTTAGGCGATCCAGATAGGGATCGCCATTTCATTCCGCGATGCGCCCTTTTGTCTTTTAGCTCTCCCATCAGCATTTATCTAGATCTCCATCAGTACCTTTAGCGACATGGTCGTTCTTCGCCGATGTAGTCAGCGTCACGCTGAATGGAAATGCTATTCGCCAAAGTTCCTACTATTTTAGGCTCAGTGTTCTGCAAATTTAGGCGATAGAGGAGCAACTTGGCGATCCACCGAGTTATCTTGGCGATCATCAGGCTTGTTTTTCCTCTCTCTTTTTCAGCTTATGTTGCCCTTGTTGCCCATTTATGACCTAGCTTTGTTCCTCAATCCATATATCTGAAAATCAAGGATTTATCATCAGTTATTGGCACAAATTAAGCATTTGAGGACACTAAATCTATGTAAACAAAGCCCTTAATGAGTCTAAATTTCAGACTCATCAACACCCCCAACTTAAACTTTTGTTTGTACTCAACTAAACTCAAGTTCAGCCATTCAAAAAGGATGTCTCAAACAGTGCTACATAAGACTCAATCATGAATGCAGACAACAAGACTCAACTTACTCATGCAAGGATCAATTGTGCATTCAAAGATTCAAATTGTGACTCACCATTATCAAAGATGCTCAAGTTCACAATACTTGCTTCAAATGCAAGTTCAAGCTCAACAAAGGTACTCAACTGCCCTCACACAAAGATGATTCCACATTCAAACACTAGCCTTCAACAATTCATAGCTCTGGAATCACACACGACTCTCACACTCACAAAGATAAACACATGCATGACTTCACCCATAGGTTTGCCCTTATTTTCCAATCAACATTCGTTTCAGCTCACTCAAGATCAAAAAGGTCTTTTCAAGGCTTGTAACGGGGCTGATTGTAAATGTATGATTATTTAGGCTCAGTGGCTGCTATCCTCATGAAATGCAGTCTGAACATCACTTTTCTTTTTTTTTCTTTAGCAGTTTTACTCATGCTCCAAATTCACCCCATTATTCAATTTTCTGGACACCCCATTTCTTTTGAAACTTTCAAAAATTTATTTCACAACTTTTTAATTCTTTTTGTTTTTCTTTCTCTCTCTCTCTTCCTTCTTTTTTTTATATGGAGGGGTTCCATCTTTTTCAAGACTATGGTTCAAAAGGGAATTCTTCACATTTCTTGATTTACCTTCTCTTTTCACCATACCCCAATTCAGGCTTTTGGCCTAAGTTGACTATTCAAACAAACCACACTTCATGAGGATTATGGGTGAATGGATCAAGAGGGGTCACATTTGTTCAAGTTTCTTCCAAGAAAAAGGATAAGGCTCAAAGAGGTTCAAGCAAGGTTCACACATCTCACAAGGTCGGCCACAAAAGTGGTATATTGTCAAATTGTTTCACTCTTCAAAATTGTTACCTAAGATCATACAAAAGCTTGCATCACTTAGTCAACCGGACCAACGGGGAAAATTCTAGGAGTCATCACAGGGTTCAAAGTTAGCTCATCACACAAGGCATTGGCACCAATATCAAGCGAGACTCCACACTTTTGCTAGTGTGCAATATTCATCACAAGAGACTCGTTCGATAATCGACTAGTCACAGGCCAACTTTATTTGGCCTCATCGTACCCACACATTCATTTTTGTTCGATTAAGAGCACTATTAAAGTCATCGTTATTGATCATAATCGATACTCAAATAATTTTTTCGAACAAGCAAGGGACTCAATGACCAAACACCTACCCCCACTAAAAGCATCCAGCATTGTCCCCAATGTGAGTAGAGAACAGACAATAACAAAAAAAAATAAAAAATAAAGATAAACTACTTGTATGTAAACATGCAGAGTAAGGTGAAAAGGAATCTTCACTAGGCGCCCATTTGGCAAAAACTTGTAATAGTCGCCGAACTGCTTGGTGATTCGCCCAATGGTCTGGATATCACCGATATTTTCAGTATGCAACCCATTCATGAAAGAGGCGAAAAGGTGGAATAGAAGGAGTTCTCCGAATAGGTCAGCGCCTCACATAATGGACTTGCCATCTCGCCAAAAGATCCATTGGGTCAGGCTATTAGAGCTAGAACAGAAGGGCGAGGAAAGTCGGGTCGCCCAATCACTTCGGTGTGTCGCCGAGTGATGAAGTTCCCCGCCTAATGTTCCAGTATCTCAGCCCCATTTTCAAGTTCCAGAAGGTGAATTATGTCGGACTCGCCAAACAGCTTCGGCGATCCGTCTATGGAATTTTCACCTCGCACAATTGCTTGCACCTGCACAGTCAACGCACATTATTTGAAACACTAACACTTGGGTTTCCTCCAAAGAAGCGCCTTATTTAACATCGTGGCACGACGTGGAAATTCTCTCAAGCATCTTCCAGATACACCACTTCAATCAGAGAAATCTCCTGGCATTCGCCAAAGTACAACTTCAAACGTTGCCTGTTCACTTTGAATGCAGGTTCCTCTTTACCTTTGACTTCAATGGCACCATTTTTGAACACCCGTGTTACTCTAAATGGACCTGACCATTTGGATTTGAGCTTTCCTAAAGAGAGTCTGAGTCAAGAATTATATAGTAACACCCAATCTCCCACTCGGAACTCCCTCTTAAGAATTCTAGAATCATGCCACTTCTTCATCTTTTCCTTGTAGAGAGTTGAACTTTTATAAGCCCTGAACCTGAATTCGTCCAATTCATTTAGCTGATCTACCTTTATTTTGAAGTCTTTGCCCAATCCAGATTTAGAGCCTTCAATGCCCATAATGCTTTGTGATCCAATTCAACCGGTAAATGGCAAGATTTTCCGTAGACTAGCTGATACGGAGACATACCAATTTGTGTTTTGTAGGAGGTGTGATACACCCAGAGAGCATCATCAAGATTTCGAGACCATTCAGTTCTATTTGCATTTACTGTCCTGGCCAAGATACTCTTGATCTCCCGATTCGACACTTCCACTTCGCCACTTGTTTAGGGATGATATGGAGTTGCTACTTTATGTTTCACGCCATATTTGCTCAATGCGGATGCCAAACACTTGTTGCAAAAATGGGATCCCCCATCACTAATAATAGCCCGAGGAGTACCAAATCTGGCAAAGATGTAGCGTTTTAAGAATTGAACAACTCTTCTCCCTTCATTGTTTGGTAGTGCGACAGCCTCCACCCATTTAGAAACATAATCTACTGCCACCAAAATGTACTTATTGCCAAACGAGCTCACAAATGGACCCATGAAATCTATTCCCCAAACATCAAATAACTCAACCACCAAAATATGCGTGAGAGGCAACTCATGTTTTTTAGACACTCCACCTTGTTTCTGACATTGAGTGCACTTCTTAAAAAACTAATGAGCATCTTTGTAAGGGCACGGCCAATAGTAACCACTTTGAAGAACTTTAGCAGTTGTACGCACCCCACCATGATGACCCCCAGCCTGTGAAGCATGACAAGCATGGAGAATTTCATTGAATTCTTCCTCCGGCACACATCTCCTAATGATATGATTTGAAGACTCTCTGAATAAATATGGTTCATCCCAAAAGTACTTCTTTACGTCGAACAAGAACCTCTTTTGTTGATAGAATTTCAGTTCGTCCGGCATTAATTCACACACCAGGTAATTAGCAAAGTCAGCATACCAAGGAGTTTGATGGAGAGTTACCGTGAATACCTGTTCATCGGGGAATGCATCATTTATGTCTACCTTGAGCTCATCATTCTCCTTGCCTTCTAACCTTGATAGGTGGTCAGTAACCTGGTTTTCACAACCTCTTCTATCCTTGACTTCAAATTCTAATTCTTGCAACAACAGTACCCACCATATTAGTCTTGGCTTGGCATCTGTC